TCTAGTTGCCGTAAAAGGCCTCCCTCAACGTCCTAGTATTCTCAAGACCCTACTCTTTCATGCCCTGTATAGGGAAGACGTTGACCACAACGATTTTGCCTTTGACCGCAACGATTTAGGGACCAAAGTTGGTCAAAAAGTGGCCGAATCTCGGAAATTTGCTGATTTTGCTGACTTTGGGCGGCCACTGTGTCTAATCTAGTTGCCGTAAAAGGCCTCCCTCAACGTCCTAGTATTCTCAAGACCCTACTCTTTCATGCCCTGTATAGGGAAGACGTTGACCACAACGATTTTGCCTTTGACCGTAACGATTTTGGGACCAAAGTTGGTCAAAAAGTGGTCGAATCTCGGAAATTTGCTTATTTTTGCTGACTTTGGACGGCCACTGTGTCCAATCTAGTTGCCGTAAACGGCCTCCCTCAACGTCCTAGTATTCTCAAGACCCTACTCTTTCATGCCCTGTATAGGGAAGACGTTGACCACAACGATTTTGCCTTTGACCGCAACGATTTAGGGACCAAAGTTGGTCAAAAAGTGGCCGAATCTCGGAAATTTGCTGATTTTGCTGACTTTGGGCGGCCACTGTGTCCAATCTAGTTGCCGTAAAAGGCCTCCCTCAACGTCCTAGTATTCTCAAACCCTACTCTTTCATGCCCTGTATAGGGAAGACGTTGACCACAACGATTTTGCCTTTGACCGCAACGATTTAGAGACCAAAGTTGGTCAAAAAGTGGCCGAATCTCGGAAATTTGCTGATTTTGCTGACTTTGGGCGGCCACTGTGTCTAATCTAGTTGCCGTAAAAGGCCTCCCTCAACGTCCTAGTATTCTCAAGACCCTATTCTTTCATGCCCTGTATAGGGGAAAACGTTGACCACAACGATTTTGCCTTTGACCGTAACGATTTTGGGACCAAAGTTGGTCAAAAAGTGGTCGAATCTCGGAAATTTGCTTATTTTGCTGACTTTGGACGGCCACTGTGTCCAATCTAGTTGCCGTAAACGGCCTCCCTCAACGTCCTAGTATTCTCAAGACCCTACTCTTTCATGCCCTGTATAGGGAAGACGTTGACCACAACGATTTTGCCTTTGACCGCAACGATTTAGGGACCAAAGTTGGTCAAAAAGTGGCCGAATCTCGGAAATTTGCTGATTTTGCTGACTTTGGGTGGCCACTGTGTCTAATCTAGTTGCCGTAAAAGGCCTCCCTCAACGTCCTAGTATTCTCAAGACCCTACTCTTTCATGCCCTGTATAGGGAAGACGTTGACCACAACGATTTTGCCTTTGACCGCAACGATTTAGGGACCAAAGTTGGTCAAAAGTGCCGAATCTCGGGAATTTGCTGATTTTGCTGACTTTTGGGGGGCCACTGTGTCTAATCTAGTTGCCGTAAAAGGCCTCCCTCAACGTCCTAGTATTCTCAAGACCCTACTCTTTCATGCCCTGTATAGGGAAGACGTTGACCACAACGATTTTGCCTTTGACCGCAACGATTTAGGGACCAAAGTTGGTCAAAAAGTGGCCGAATCTCGGAAATTTGCTGATTTTGCTGACTTTGGGCGGCCACTGTGTCTAATCTAGTTGCCGTAAAAGGCCTCCCTCAACGTCCTAGTATTCTCAAGACCCTACTCTTTCATGCCCTGTATAGGGAAGACGTTGACCACAACGATTTTGCCTTTGACCGCAACGATTTAGGGACCAAAGTTGGTCAAAAAGTGGCCGAATCTCGGAAATTTGCTGATTTTGCTGACTTTGGGCGGCCACTGTGTCTAATCTATTTGCCGTAAAAGGCCTCCCTCAACGTCCTAGTATTCTCAAGACCCTACTCTTTCATGCCCTGTATAGGGAAGACGTTGACCACAACGATTTTGCCTTTGACCGCAACGATTTAGGGACCAAAGTTGGTCAAAAAGTGGCCGAATCTCGGAAATTTGCTGATTTTGCTGACTTTGGGCGGCCACTGTGTCCAATCTAGTTGCCGTAAAAGGCCTCCCTCAACGTCCTAGTATTCTCAAGACCCTACTCTTTCATGCCCTGTATAGGGAAGACGTTGACCACAACGATTTTGCCTTTGACCGCAACGATTTAGAGACCAAAGTTGGTCAAAAAGTGGCCGAATCTCGGAAATTTGCTGATTTTGCTGACTTTGGGCGGCCACTGTGTCTAATCTAGTTGCCGTAAAAGGCCTCCCTCAACGTCCTAGTATTCTCAAGACCCTATTCTTTCATGCCCTGTATAGGGAAGACGTTGACCACAACGATTTTTCCTTTGACCGTAACGATTTTGGGACCAAATTTGGTCAAAAAGTGGTCGAATCTCGGAAATTTGCTTATTTTGCTGACTTTGGACGGCCACTGTGCCCAATCTAGTTGCCGTAAACGGCCTCCCTCAACGTCCTAGTATTCTCAAGACCCTACTCTTTCATGCCCTGTATAGGGAAGACGTTGACCACAACTTGTGTGGGAGCGGCAGCCTCACAAAGTTGGTCATGAAGGGTAAAAACAATGATGATCGGGGGCCTTTTGCGGTCTTATCTGCCGGGGCCTTTTGGGGGCCAGTCCGAGCCTGGCTGCTCTCAATGTATGATATGGATATATCATCGTTTCCTACCTTTTCTTGTCTTATTCCTTTCATTTTACTCGATCTACTATTTCCGATATTTGCGTTTTTCAATAGTTCAATTTTTCAATATTTCAATTTTTCAATTTTTCAATATTTCAATATCTCAATATTTATATTGACAGTCAATATATTCAATATCAATACCAAATATTGATATTGAGAGAAATTTCAATATTTTAAATATTGGGTATTGATTTTGAAATATAAAAACCGCCCAGCCCTAGCCGGCAGGCAGGCAGCCAGGCAGGCAGGCAAGCAGGCCGGGCAGGGTGAGCTCCTTTTATTGACAGGGGAGGCAATTTCACGCGTGATGCCTCGCAGCTGCAGCGGTACTCGCCCGGGCTCTTTCTCCTCTCCCCCTCCCCTCCTCCTCTGGCCCCTTTGTTGCCTTCGGGGTGTTGCGCACGTCATCCTCGATTTTCTTTCTTCCGCGCGACAAAAACAAATGAGAATCGGTGCCGGGTGAGTTGCCGGCGTCAAAGCCTTGATCAAAGTCCAGCCCTCCGACACCAAAAACGAGCGACGGAAATAACCTTCTTTGGTCGTGAAAAGCGCCTTTCCCTGATCATAGCTCGCTAGAGAGAGCCGTTGACGCCCAGCCTCGTTGAATGGATCGTCAGGACTGACCTGCGCTGCTTTTCGACAGTGTGGTGGCTGGATTGGACTGGGAGAGCAGGGAGAGCGGGGAGGTGACAGGGGAGACTCACTCGAGCCCGGTCCACTTGCAGCCAGACCTTTCGCTCCGCTTTCAAGCGCTCCAGACGAGGCCCCAGAGGAGCATCCACACAAACGAACGGTGGTCATGGAAACTGATATGCACGCTCGGTTGGCGCTCGGAGACACGCCCCATCGATTCAGACCCATCTCCTCCACGTGTGCCCCTTCCCCTCCACTGCTGCACCTCTTTGCAACACCCTTTTCACTGTCCAAATTAAACCGTCGTCGTTTCATTTCGTCGTCCGCTTCGGGCCGTGCCTCGGGCCGTGCCTCGGGCCGTGCCTCGCGCCGTGCTCATGGAGGCAGCAGACCCTCCAATTTTTTTTTACCTCGGCCCCGCCTCTCGCCCGCCCTGGAACGAGACAATTGTCAAGCGCAGCCGCGCGTGCGGATTTGCATAGCAGATGCCTATCAATTCGTCGCGCCGCGCTGAGCTGAGCGGGGCGAGGCGGCGTGGGGGGAGGGACGGGCTTTATTAGGTTGGCTTCGGCCATCGGCGCCCTCGCCACGCTTTGAGCCACGCTCCGAGCCACGCTCCGAGCTACGCTCCGAGCCACGATCCGAGCTACGCTCCGAGCCACGCTCCGAGACACGCTCCGAGCTACGCTCCGAGCCACGCTCCAAGCCAAGCCACGCTCACGTTCCGAGCCTCGTTCCGAGCCACACTCACGCTTCGAGCCTCGCTCCGGGCCACGCTCCAAGCCACGCTCCGAGCCACGCTCCGAGCCACGCTCCGGGCCACGCTCCGAGCCACGCTCCGAGCCACGCTCCAAGCCCCGCCTCGCTCATCCCACCGGGCCGCCCGGCCGAGTCGAGGGGAGATAGCGTGAACCATTGTGTGTCCAAGCCACAAACCGCGCTGCCAGAGCCAATACCGCGGCTCTGCCGCATTTGCCGAACCAGCCTGGAGCCAGAGTGCCCCGAGTGCGGTTACAGTCGCTGGGAGTGGCTACACTGGTGGGAGTAGCTACAGTTGCCCGGCTGCAGTTCCTGGAGGGGGCTCCAGGGGTTGGGAGTAGGTAAACTGACTGGGTTTGACTGCAGTGGTGTGGCTGGCTGAGTGGCTCCACCGACTGGGATTTACTGCAGTGGCTGAGTGGCTCCACCGACTGGGATTTACTGCAGTGGCTGAGTGGCTCCACTGACTGGGATTGACTGCAGTGGCTGAGTGGCTCCACCGACTGGGATTTACTGCAGTGGCTGAGTGGCTCCACTGACTGGGGTTGACTGCAGCGACGCGATTCAAAAAAGGGGGAGGGCGCGATCGCTTCCTGTCAGATCCCATAAACAACCGATGGTAGGCAACCCCCATCGCATGCCCTTGCACTAGGCAAAATATACACAACCCTGTCGGGAGCTCCTGGAACCGCCCCTGTGACTGCAGTTTGCAGAGTAGCTACACTGGTCGGGAGTGGGTGCAGCGCCTTGAGCGCGGCTCCAGGGGCGGCTCGAGCCCTCCATCCTTCAACGCCACGTTCATAATAAATGCTGACAGCGTCACGATGAGGGCGCGCCGTGCATTACTGACGCCTTATTCCGCCCTCTTCGGAGACCCCATCATTTATTCGACGTTTTCAGCCGGGACGCCGGCTTTTTGTTTTCGGAAGCTTTGGGTGCGGGGCAGCGCGTCGAAGCACGTCCCCATGGGATGCGGTACTCACGTTTAGGTTACGCCATCCATGGTGCATCCATCGCCGGGCCGGCGCGTGCCACTCCGACAGACCGTCGCGCGCGGAAGCAGAGACGGCCGGTCACAGAACGGATTGTGAGCGCCCCGGTTCTGGGAGTGCAAGGGGTTCCGGGGGTGCCGGGGGTGCCGGGAGTGCTGGTCCCGAGAGCTGACACGTCCCCGGTCCGGTCGGAATCCGGCGGGGCCGGAGGGCCGTAGGGCCGGAGGGTGTTGCGCTGCCTGGGACCGAGCCTGCCTGCCGAGCCTCCGAACGGGACCAGCGCGCCTCACAGACTGAGCATTGCGCGGTTCCACGGCACCGCGACGCGGCGGGGGGCCGTGGGGGAGGCTCCCCGCCAGCAGGCCGCCCCGCCAGCCTCGGCCAGCCCTGGCACCCCTGAGCCGCGCCCCGCCAGCCCCACCTGTAGCTGGAGCCGACGTCATGGGTTCGAATCCCCTCTTAGGCAAAGAGGCCTCGCCTTTTCCCCCCCGAGCCTCGTTTCCCGCCCTCGGTGACTTCTTTTGAGGGAAGGACACGGAAAGAGTCTTTTCCCCTTGAAGTGGGCAGCTCGTCGGGTGTGCGATGGTATCTCGGTCTTGTCCACATACATGACCAATCTTCTCCTCTTTGGTCCCCGCATATTTTTTTCACTTTTTGCTGCTTCCGGCTTTTCATATGATGATGGCCGCTGAGAGCGCCTGTGAATCCCGGGATAGGCAGCCCGTTCCGTGCGCCTGTCCACCGGGAGGCCTACCCGGTACTTCGCAGGGGCTCTGCGCTCAGCATGCACGTCGTGCACCTCGTGATGTAAGCAGCCCACTTGACGTGAGAGTAAACCCTCTGGGGCACCTGGGGGCAACTTGGGTCACCTTGAGGCCCAGCGCGCATAGCGGGGCTCGGAAGGGGCGCACGATGGAGCAGACGCTCGCCGATGCCCCGCAATGCCCCGCAATGCCCCGCAATGCCCGAGACGACATTCGGCCATTAAGCGGAATTACCTACCTGCTTCCTCGCAAAAAGGTGACTTTGCCAGTCAATAAAAATGAATGAAAAAGAGAAAGACTAACTGGACAAAATGAAAAGACTACCGGCGCACGTAAAATTGGCTCCCTGCAGGAGGCGTGAAAAGAGGCGATGGCCAACGTCATGCGCGGGAAAATTTAGCTGGGAAAATGCAGCAGCCGAGAGGGCCGAGCAAAAAAAGAAAACGGAAATGCATTAAAACGCAGAGCTCTCTCTCTCGTTTATTTTCAGTTTGTTTCGTTTCCCCGAACACGCGCATGAAAGGGAAGAATCCGGAAAGAGGCCGTGGCCCGGCTCCGGAAAGCCGTCAAACTTTTTCTCCCTGTCGATTTGCCCTCATAGCGTGGTCCAGAACTCTTCAAAATGGCGCGTTTCCCTGCCAGTTTTGATTCGTTATTTTTTTAATCTCTCAATGGAATGATTCACGCAGTCGCGATGTCTTTGTTCGCACACCTGTCAAAGTGTGTTATTCGCGCTGCAGCGTTGAAAATCACCCGCGAAAGCATGGAAAATAAAATTTTAACCGGCAGGTCTACCAGTGAACAAGTAACGGCACCGGCCCTGTTCTGTTCACATGTGAACAAATCTTTGAACATTGGCAAATGTGCTTAGTTTTGGCGTTTACTGCGTCCAACCTAGGCTGTGAAACACAATCCCCCGGTTCTGATAGTCTTCCGCTGTAGTTTATAATATGCCGTTCCCGCTTGCAATCGCGCTCCCTGCGATGGTCCTGTGATGAATTGTTGATGATCCCGACCCGCTTAAATGTGTGCTGGCATCGCTTGTCGTTTGCCTAAGACACACACGCTTATACTCTGAGACTCCCACATGTTTTCTCACGCAAGCTTCGCCTAGTGTGAACCGGGCGAGGGGTGAATCACTAGTGTACTCATGTGTACAAATTTGCCCGTACTCAGTGTACTCACAAGTTTAAAAAGGGTGAAATTCACCAGTTTTTCGACCGATTTAGCGTTGAGTGCCTTTTAAAACGCTAAATAAAGCCTTAAAACGTTTATAAACGTGAAATTTATGAGTAAAGCAAGGTGTACTCACTCGTACTCATGTACTCATGTGTAGACTAGGACGCTGAGTGATTCACCTCTCGGAACCGGGGACGAAGAGGCTTTCGCGAGCTGCCGAGCAACTCTGGCACAGATTGCGCCGTTTTTCCATGACCGTTCGCTGGCATTGCTTCGTGGCACTCCACTGCAAGGCCATGCAAGACCTCCCCATGCCCTCTAGGCCCCCCTCTCTACCTGGCTTGTCTGCTGAGTCGCACAAGTCTGAATTGAATAATGGGTTTGCTGGAACGGTGCCCCGAATGGCGGCGCCCCCGCTGACTGCGGGCCCCGGGACTACGGGCCCCGGCAGACTAAAGGCCCCGGCCGCGCCCGGCCGCGCCCGGCTCCCCATGCCCATGACGGAGGCGCGTCAAAGGAAGGCTCGAACGCTCATTAGCCCCAAACCTTTGCGACGACTGGAGAGAGATGGGGAGGGGGCGCGAGCACTCCCACGCGGGCAAATTTAAAAGTAGACGGCACTGCTGCAAAATTGGGGTGGCGCGTTTCTGTTGTAACCTCGCTCCTCTCGCGCGTCTGGCGCGGCCGTTTTGCCGTTATTCGCGCTCCCTTACCCTCCAGCCGGTCAACACAAAGTCAATTCAACGCACGCGAAATGTCGAAAATAATCCGCGAAACAACCAAAATTCGAGACGAAAATAATGTATGTTGGTTCTGAACTTTTGGGGCGTGATTCTGACCGATTTCACATGACACACGTAATTAACGTAGTCCGATATTAAATACACGAAAGCTTTCCCTGCGTGTATGTAATAAAAATGGCGTTTTTTGCACGCTGCGTGTTTGCAAGTAGGTTTTTTACCACATAAACGCTACGTGTCAATAATCACTTCGATTTACGTATTATTTTGCACGTGCTGACATATTTTTACTTTATGAGGCTCACAAAAAACACTTTAAAAATATTCAACAGAAACAATTTAACCAGGGACAAGTTTCGTCAAATTATCTTGCAGAGAGCTTCGCACCCTGAAGAACAACATTACTAACAACAATAAAAACAATAGCAGCCCCCCTCAACACCATCACCATGACAAGAAGAAAGATCGTGCTGGAAACTCTGATGAAGGTACACGACGACTAAATACAGGACTCGCTAGACGCACATGCAAAACCGTTCATAAGCTCCAACTTGTCTTTTTTTTTCGTGCGTGTGTGTTGCGAATGTGCGTCGGCGCTTGTTCTTTGAAACGGCGACTTAATTGTCAGCGCAGGGACTCTTGTTGTTTGTGACACGTACGAAAATGAATATTCACCTAGCTGCTGCGAGGCTCCCCGCAGCGGACCGGGGGCGGCCGGGGGCGGCCGGGGGCCACGCCCACCCTGTCATGCATTCTCCAACAGCGTTGCCCGGCGCTCTTTTTCGCCTCGGTTCGCTTCCCTCTCGGCATTCCCCGCTCTTTGTGTTAATTCGGCTTTTTGCCCTTCCCTCGTTATATTCCCTACTTGTTGGCCGTGGCCCGCGCTGGCTCGCATTTCGACGAGGCTGTGGCGACGCCGTTGTGTTGATTCGCGCTTTAACGCCTCCCAGCCCCACCAGCCCCCCGCCAGCCCCGCCAGCCCCGCCACCCCGCCAGCCCGCCAGCCCCGCCAGCCCCGCCACCCCGCCAGCCCGCCAGCCGGCCCCGCCAGCCCGCAGCCCCGCCAGCCCCGCCAGCCCCGCCAGCCCCGCCAGCCCCGCCAGCCCCGCCAGCCCCGCCAGCCCCGCCCGAGCTGGCAGACGGCGGCGGTGACACCGCACTGCTACGCACTGCCGGCCCGGGGACGGGCTGCTACATTTATCGCGTCGTTTTGCGCACGACTTTCGCCCTCCGCGCCCGCCACGCTCCACAACGCCCCGCCCCACCCCGCCACCCCACTCCCCGCCACTGTCCTAAGGCAAGTCTAGCCGGACTCGTTCCGAGCTCCGTCAAAATGGGACATAAACGATTTCTGAATGACGCAGCACTCGCGTTAATTTTGTCACATTGTCAGAAACATGTCTGAAATCCTGAATTTTGATCATGATCAAAATTCGCGCTCCACTGTTAGAAAAAAGTACGGAAAAAGTACGGAGCATGTCTGGTCAATAATTTGCCCGGACCGTCCGTACTTTGCCAACTACGGAACTTCCGTCCTTTTTTACCGTACCCGTTTACGTGGGTTCAAATGGAGCAAGTACGGACGCTCCGTACATCCGTACTATATTTTTCCGTGCCATTTCCGTACAAAAGTACGGAATTTTTTTCAGTGTCCTCTGAATGCTGAAATTCTGAAAATTTATTCTAAAATTGATGGCCTGAGTTCTGCAGAATATCAGAATAAGTTTTCAGCTTTCAGAGGTGCGCGAATTTTGATCGGGTTTTCAGACAGGTTTCTGACATTCTGACAAGATTTGCACGAGTGAGGGTGCTTCTCAGCACAGAATATGCTTTTGGACTTTTTGTACCTAAGTATTGACGTATTTGTGCAGGTGTAAGTTAGGTACTCATTTCTACATAAATAAGGTACAATTTTATAAATACTAAATCACAATATGTAAATATTTTCCCTAATACATTTGTTAAATTGTTCTTAGGTATGTGCACAAATTGGCAATAGTTAAGTACGATACTATGAAAGTCCTTTCATAAACATTTTAGCGTATGAAAGGGAGTAGGCCATTGTCTGTATCTTTGCGCTTTCATTTGCCATCTTAACACAGAGTCAAATTTCTTCCTGAAAAACGAAACGTGTCCGGCACGATGGAAAATGTCGGGACAAAGAAACGACAGATTATCAAGGGAATCGAGAACAAAAATATCAACTGTCCATAACAACAGATTGCTAGAAGTGTAAGTCCCTCTAATACTGTTGCGTCCTCCAGACCCCTCTCCAGCCACCCTTGCCTCCCCCTTAACCACCCCGCCCCTGCCCGTTGCTGAGATGGGTACGCTAAGCCCGCCGCACATGCCACACCGCGTCCGTGTAGGTGTGGATCAGAGAGAGAGAGAGAGAGAGAGAGAGAGAGAGAGAGAGAGAGAGAGAGAGAGGCAGTCCGTGGAAGCAGTATTGTGTGCACGTGTGCCAAAGTATAGAGAGGTGTGGGTGGAGGGTGAACAGAGGGAGGGAGAGGGGGGGAGAGCGGAAGGGGGGAGAGAGCGTGTGCGTGCGTAGAGGCGTGCGTGAGGTGGACGTGGAGGGGAGGAATGTTTCGCCG